TCTGGTCATAGAAGGCCACTAGGTTGGTCTGACAGGACCTGCCTCTAATGAACCCGTGCTGGTTGCCCTGAAGCATAATCTCCCCTGCTAGCCCCTTGTGGATATGCACCAGAATAATTTTCTCAAAAAGCTTGCCCAGGATTGAGGTAAGACTAACCGGCCTATACTTTCCCAGGTCCTCCTTCCTCCCAAGTTGATGCTGCAGGATCAGGTATTTGCATTATATGCACATATTTAACATGCAAATTATGCATGATCTACTTTTATAGATATGATCGCTATTTCTTAAACAGAGACTTGGTCACAAAGACAATGAAATGCTTCTCAGCACCATGAGCTGGCACCATTTTTTTCATCCCCTTAAGTCTCTCACAAATTTCCCAGCTGTCTGGAACTTTCTCCTCATAGCTGCTATTTATCAGATTCTGCTTTTTCTTCCAATAATGCACCAGAAAAACAGCAGCAAGTTCATCATAATGCTTTTAGCTAACCTATAACTCCAACATACTGTATTATTAAAGTGTCATAGTCAAGACATTCAGTCTTTCGTTTCTTTTTAGTTAGTGTTTTAACAATTGACATCAAAGTTAACCTTAATTTCATAGCGGATACCAATACAATGAAGAAAATTTTTGTTTCTTTTTTTTAAATCTGAAAATTGATTAAATATTTCCCATTACTTTAAGGACCAACTGAAATACGACTTCATTCAAACAGAAAAAACTGCATATAGTTTAGTTTATAGGATTATGTAAACTCCATCTGCTTATATAAAACAGTTTCCTTTAAAGTCCTCCGGTAGAGAAAAAAATGAAAACAGAAACTTACTTGTACCTTCTATCAGCAGCTCTTGCCCATGGCTACCCAATAGAGTGCGAGAAAGAAATGGAGCAAAATCCACAAAAATCTCTCTTAGAAGTGGGGCAGCCTTTTCCAAAGCATGCTCAAGCCTCTCTGTAATACTAATTAAAAGACATGTGAGGTTAGATGGAGAAGAAAAATCAAAATTCTGCAAGAGAAGGAATTATTTTGTTTGAATGGTACATCATCTGTAACTAGAACCCATTTAGCACAATTACATTTTACTGAAGAACCTGATCCAGCAACCTGATCCTTCTATCGAACAACCTGATCCAGCAATCATTTAAAGCAACTGAAAGAGTTCAGTTTCAACAGGTACCGAGTCTTGCTTTCAGTGATTAATCATGCAATGAAAATTCCAAGCGAATACCTTAGTAGAACGTACCAATGAACTACATCATCAAGAAAGCGAGAAGTAGCAATGTCACCTTTTGCTGAGGTTAATTAAAGAAATTACCTCATATTTGAGACTGAATCCTCAGGCACTGAAGAAACCGTAGGGACTGACGGTAATTTTGAATTAGATGATCCCTTTCCTACAAAAGAAAGAATAGATTCATCCCACAGGAAACACAGGCCAGAGGCTGAGCCCACATAGCTAGAAGCCAAAGATTCATGTTCAAACCCATACATGCTTATCTGCAAACGTGACCTTTGGCAATTAATTTCACCTCTTTGCACCTTGGTTTTCTTTGTACAAATAAAATGTCCCAGCTGCTTAAGTATTAGGTGCATTGCAACCAACATGAACAGGAATTAATTGACTATAGTCCAGCAGCCTGTTTTATGAAAGAAAACCAGACTAAAGAAATACAATGGTCCTTCTGGTCTTAGAATATACAAATATTTGTGAAGTAATTTAAACATATATACATGTTAAGTGTATCTTCATATTGAGTCCTGGTATTTAATCCAACTTATTCTGCACAGCACATGCAGCCTTAACTTTGCCTCATTGTGCATAAATACATTAACTCCACAATAACCCTATCTCATTCAATGTTTGAAATGAGCAGTTCTCTTTTCATGAGTATCAGTATTGTTTTCTCCTCATAATACAGTGCGTGGTCTCAAGCCTAATTTTCTGCATACCCCTCAAGCCCTACCTTGAAAAAAAATTAGTAATTTCCTCATGAGCTTTTTTATGGTGCTTATGACTACAGTATTTGATAGTAGTGCTGGAGTGATGTTGTAGCTGTAATTATGCAGATATTATGCAAGACAAGGATTTCTTAGGGCGATGTCTTTTATTGGACCAACTATGGAGCTGGAAGAGAGAGTCAGACAAACCTCTGAATGGTATTTAAGGAATTTATTAATGTCTGCAAAACTATTTTCAAAAAAATTCCATGGGATGAGTGGGTATTTTTATCCTTTTTATAACATGAATGATGAACTAAGCTGATTTAGCCCTTTTATAATACGAATGATGGATCCATTAATTTTGGATGCTTTTGTTGAGACTTTTAGCACTTGACTGTTCAAAGTACTTTGCACTTCATATGTTCAAAATACAGTATAGAGTAAAGCATCAACCTGCATTGCATTACTTAACACTTCTGTAAATCAGACCCCTGGGATCAAAAGTTAGGGATACAGAAAATGAGAAACATTCAATTAGCAAGCACTTATGAAAAACTTGGTTTAAGTAAGTTACATAGCATCATTTAAGAATCCTGTGGCAGGGAGGAATGTGATCCAGTTAGCCTAAGACATTATCTTAACTGCCCTTACGGTGAGACTGTCTCTTTCTCCTCCAGCAATTCCCTGACTTGTTCCCTACACACCTTCCAATTTCAGCAATAAACGAAATACAAAAATCCTATTGGTAGCAAGTAACTTGTTCAATATACAACCATGACCCAGTTCTTTCCATGTACTGAATGAGGCAGACATTCTGTAGACAAAGATACTATGTGATCATATAATTAAAGGCTGCATTACAAAGTATAAATGCAAGGTGGCTCAATTAAGGTTGCAGAGATCCCTTTAAATTTAGTACCACCTCACTTTAGAGATATCAACATTATACTACTACTCATGCTCTTTTAATGTGGAGTGCTGTGTGTGTTAGTAATTTTTTTTAATTAAAAAAAATCTTGTTGCATCATAGTGACACACATGACTAATCAGCGAGTTCACAGGAGCTTTTCAAAGGCTTGCAACTTGGCCAAATTTGGGCACATTTTTCATGGGGATGACAATAGGCACATTATCTGACAAAAGACCAGTCTTCTATCAAAATTTAAATCCCATCCCAAAACACATAAGAATTAGAGCTTCCCAAGAAAACTATGCAATGTTTTTCAACGTGAGCAAGAAAAAAAATATTTTTCCATAGCTTAGTTCTTATAAATACCTGAGCAATTTCCACTGAAATTAAAACAAAATAAAAACTCTACACACAGTCTGCAGCAGACAGCTGATGTGGAAAGTTTCAGCCCAGAAGTTTGAAATTTGACAAGGGATAAGCAACTGGAAATTGATCCTAAAAAATAAGCATTCAGACAACCTTAATAATAGTACTTGCAGCCCTATTATAATTTTTTTTTTTAAATATCAGACATGACCCTCTTAGCAACAGAAACACAACAATAGGAATAGATCCAGATTGATGAAGATGAAATAATGGATAATCTAAGTGGTAGTCTGAGTACAAACGTTAAGGTACTGTTCTCAAATGTAGCCAGAGCCAATACCTGTAGCAGGGTTAAAAAGCATAACATTTGTTTCAATTTAGGACCAGTTTCAAACAAGGGACCAAAATTGCGGTGGGTAAAATTAGTGCCTGCAACCTTTGCTTTTCTCTAGTACTTTACTGCGGAGTCCATTATTTGATTTGTGTGCATTATTTTGAAAATTCTGAAGAACAGAGAGAGTTGGGTGGGTGATATAAATTGGGTAGTGTGAAAGTGAGTGATTGATTATATGGCAACAAGGAACAAGTTCGATCACTTAACCTCTAATTTCTAGACATTGCCATTTTTCATTTTGAAGGTGTGGTATTGTTGTAAGGAAAATATAATATTGTACCTGGAGTTAGCTGGATTTAGTTGAAAGCATGTTTTTAACCGGGTTGCTTTTTGTATCTCTTTTTTGTGAGTAGCTGTCAGTTCATATACATGATTATCCTTCCTTCCTTTTTAAAACTGAACTCCTCTAAACGCTTTTATTACTTTCCCATGTTTAAAACAAAAAATGTACACTTAGTACAAAAAAAGATCAAATGACATGGTAAATATTGTAGGCTAGCCTGAGGCTAGTAAAATACAAGAGCTGTTCAGCAAAAACAGTTAACAAATTAGACTCTGAGGTTGCATCCTGTTCCACACTCCACCTAACTTCAGAGGAGCATGGCTAACCACCTGTTGTGCTCATGGAAGAGATGCAAGATGTACTAACAGTGTGAATCTTTCTTGACATTGAATTCCATCAACTGACTCAAATACTCTGGAAAGTACTATAATATATCCTGTCATTTACTTCACTGATTGACTCCTGATAAACTTCTCGAATTGCATAACAGGGATTAAACTGATCTAAGCAGTTTTCTTTTAAATTATTTATAATGCAAACATTAAGTCTTCAACTTTGGCAGGGCTGAGAAGAGGAACACTAACATGGAGATTTAGAAATTCCTTATTTCAAAGAACAATACCGGATGGAACTACTGTATAGAAGCTCTTAAAAGAAGCTACCTCCAGATGCACAGGAAAGGACTGATACTTCCAACTCCTGGGAACCCAGGGTCAAGCCCCTTTTACTTATTCTTTAAGATCCACAAACCTGACAACCAACGATGCCCTATTCTCTCTTGCACTGGCATCATCACAGAGGGGAGTTTCTGGCTACGTTGACTCTATCCTATTCCATATGTCACTAGAGATGTCAGCTATTTGAAGGACACCACAAATTTCCTAAAAAAGGAAAGTTCCATTGCACTTTCCCACTTGGTTCTCACACAAAACTATTTCAGATGTGGAGACTCCCTATACGTATAAAAGAATGGCATTGCCATGGGCATGCACCTGGCCCACAATATGCCAAAACATTTTTATGACAGACACGAAAGTCAACTTCCTCTGTAGCTTCCCTCTTTTCCCCCTGGTATGAGACATTGATGACATTCATCACATGGACACATGGGAAGGAATCTCTTGAGAAATTCTACCAGGACTAACTTCCACCTTTCCATCAAACTGACTCTGGAATACTCTACCCAACATATTGTCTTCATAAATACCACTGTGAAAGTTCAGTAGTCACATCATCACCACATTGCATCAGAAATAAACTGTCCAACTACAGCTACCTTCAACCCACCAGCTTTCATGCTAAAGCACACCACTAGATCCATCATCTACACCCAACCGTACCTGCTCCATCCCACTGACCAGAATGTACACCCAAAAGCTGTGAAGTTGAGATTCCCATACTTACAATACAATCTGAAAACCATAGCTACTGAAATCAGCAAAGCCAGACCCCTCTTTGACCTGTTACAGTACCAACCACATGACAAGGACAATAAAAGCCCACTGATTGTCACCTAAACCCTCCCATTTGAACAACTTAGAAACATCATTAATAGCTTCCAACCCCTCCTGTAAAATGATGACCAACTCAAGGCCACACTGGGGGAGAAGCCTGTCCTGACTTAGAAGTATCCTCTAAAAGCATCACTCCAGCAAGAGACTATTTATCTAACTCCTATGCTCGTCAATCCACCAAGCTATGCAACAGACCCAGATGCCCTCATCAATACAGGCCAAATCAACACTGGACTAAAACATCCAGGGCTTAATTCACCTATTC